TCGGCCACACACCGCCGGGTAGCTCACCGCCGTTGTGCTCGCAGATCGATCGAACAGGCAGGAGCTTAGAAGAAAGGAATACAAGCTTGCCGGAATATTTGCTCCCCATACATATATGAATATAAATTTAGGATACATAAATGTGAGAGGCATCGATGTATATGTAGGTGTATTTTTTATTTTTTCTACCTTTCCCCTCTTTATTTCCATATATTTGACTTTGACTCCAAATAAGTTTGATAAAGTGTCCCCAACGTGCCTTCAAAAAAAATAGTAGTTAAAAATTTCGGCAGGCCACATGCCATGTCAGACACGTGGACATGCACACCCACCTTGGAGTGTTCATTTGATGCTTATTAGCGTATGAAATAGCATGATCATAACCAGTTCACCATGTAGCATTATCATACTTTAGTATGGCATTTCTTCATAAGATTAAGGATTCCACCTAAGTGAATGCCAAGCTGATAAGAGTGTTTAAGATCCAACCTACGCAAATTGGACATCACTACAGCTGTTGATGGCGAGGAATAGTGGATTCACAGGACAATATATTCCTTGCAACAGCCTTTCTTCGCCAATAATAAAAAATACAAACCGTTTAGTTTCAAAGTATGAATCAAGGTGTGATCAAGAAGATAGATAAAGAGACATGCATGCAGATAAAGAACATAGCATGACAAGGTTCAACATAAGCAAATATAGCATGACAAGGTTAAACATAAGAATTTGTCTCTATTCTGTTCATGTAAAATTGGTGAACATTGAGAAAATCCTCAAGGTACTTTAAGTGGTAGATGTGGGGCCTAACCTGGGACCAATACCTTAGATTTGTAAGTAATATTCCTTTTTGTGGGACCAATACGCAGTTTGGTTAGGGTTCACTCATGTATTAACTCTCTCCTTTGGCGCTCTAACTTTTGCCAAAGTCACCCTTTCGTATTTTCAACCTTGTGAGCTCTATTTTTCTTCATTTCTAATTTTTTATGCTTTATCTTTTGTATAAGTGGCCCTTTCGAGTTTTCGGCCAAGTGAGTCTCTCAGGGATAGTACTGCTTCAACTTGTCCATGTTAATCGGTTACGAAAATTCCAAGCTAGCTAAATCCATAAGGATAATCACTCCTCCTAACCAGATAGACTTGATGATGTAAAGACTAGACTAATTAGGTTTGAACTTGCCCTTAGGGTCATGGATGAGAGCTCGGTTATCTTTGAGCACCATATCTCCTTCTTTGAGTTTTCTGGATTTGACTTTCTTGTTGAAGGCTCTAGCAATTCTACACTGATATCCATGGATATGATACAACGCCTTCAACCTCCTCTCGTCAAACAACATCAATTCTTTGAATCTGTTCTGTTACCAATCCGCCTCTATTATTTGACACTCGACCATGATTCTCAACGATAATACTTCAATCTCAATCAGAAAAATATCTTTCATCCCATATACCAGAAAATAGGGGGTTGCCCTTGTCGATATTGGAATTGACGTTCTATACCCCAGAGTGCAAAAGACAGTTTATCTGGCCAATTTTTATAAGTTTCCACCATCTTTGGCAAGATGTTCTCGACATTCTTGTTCGCGGTCTCAACAACTCCGTTGGTCTGGGGTCTGTATGTTGATAACTTGTGAAAAGTCACGTTGTATTTCTCAAGCAGATCCACCACTTCTTTCTTGAAGTGCAAGCCATTGTCCGAGATAATCTCATTTGGTACCCCATATCTGCAAATGATGTTGTTTCTGATGAACTTGGCCACATGTGATGCTTTCAACACTGAGTAAGACTGTGCTTCCACCCACTTGGTAAAATAGTCAATTGCCACCAAGATGAACTCATGTCCATTCAAGCCTTTTGGCGAGTCTCTCAGGTATGTCTACCATGGAGGATAGAGTTGCCAACGCATCAGCAAATCGATTGTTCTCTCTCAGTAGATGTGTGAATGTTAGTTTTTCAAACCTTGGAATCATAATGTCTAGGGTCTGATAATAAACCTTCATTTTCTCTTCCTTGACCTTCCAGTCTCCGTTGGCTTGAGAAACAACTAGGTTTGAGTCTCCGATGATGTCCAACCTTATTGCTCCTAGTTCTAGGGCAGCTTCCAATCCAGCGATACAAGCCTCGTATTCTATTTCATTGTTGGACACTTTGAACTTGAGTTTAAAGGCTAAGGTATATGGGAATCATCGGGTGCTATCAGCAACACACTTATTCCATAATCGTATTAATTAGAGGCTCCGTCAAAGTACACCGTCCAAGTCTGCTCTTCTACTTGCAGAATCTCCTCATCTGGGAATAGGTACTCTACTGTTTTATCTCCTTCCACGAGGTGGCTTGCCAAAAATTCCGCTACTGCTCTCCCTTTGATGGACTTGGGAGTGACATACTTGAGGTTAAACTCGAGGTTAAACTCGAGGTCAAACTCGGAGAGAAGAAGCAATCAACAAGTTAGCCTTCCTGTAAGTGCTGGTTTCTCAAAGAGATATTTAATGGGATCTAATCTTGAAACCAGAATTACGGAATAAGCTAACTAGTAGTGTCTCAACTTCCCAGTTGCCCAAACCAAAGCTAAGCAAGCTTTCTCCAAAGAAGTGTAGCAGGTCTCGTAATCCAACATATTCTTGCTCAGATAGTAGATGGCCATCTCCACTTTAGCTTATGATTCTTGAGCTAGCATACACCCCATGGTTGAATCTATTATCGACAAATACATGATCAGCAGCTTCTTCGGTTCTGGCAGCGACAATACAGGTGGATTCTGAAGGTACTGCTTGACCGGTTCGAAAGCGAACTGACATTGATCATCCCATCAAAACTTTTTTCCCTTTTTCAAAAGACCAAACAGTGGTTCACAAATCAAGGTTAATTTTGAGATAAACCGACTTATGAATTGCACTTTGCCTAGAAAGTCCTGCACCTCCTTTTCAGTCCTTGGTGGTGACATTTCTAAGATGGCATTGATCTTGGATGGATCTACTTCAATTCCCCTCTGCATAATCAGAAATCCCAGCATTTTCCCTGTAGTCACCCCAAAGGTGCATTTATGCGAGTTCAACCTCAATTTGTACTCTTAAATTTGTTTGAAATTTTTTTTCAGCACGGTGTAATGGCCTTCTCGTTCTTTGGATTTTATAATCATGTCGTCCACATATACCTCGACTTCCTTATGGATCATGTCATCCAGGATAGTGGTCGCAGCCCCCTGATATGTAGCCCTGGCGTTCTTCAGCCCAAATGGCATAACTTCTTAGCAGTAGGTACCCCACGACGTGGTGAATGCAGTCTTCTCTTTGTCCTCATGTGCCATCAAAATCTGATTATACTCAAAAAACCCATCCATGATTGATAGCAACATATGGCCGGTAGTGAAGTCTACTAATTCATCAATGTGTGGCAGTGGAACGTCGTCCTTCAAACTAGCCTTATTCAGATCCCGGAAGTCGACGCAGACTCTGATTCTGCCATCCTTCTTCAGAACCGGAACAATATTGGCCAACCAATTTGGATATTCAGACACTAGCAAAAACCCTGCATAGATCTATTTGGTGACCTCTTCTTTAATCTTTAGTGCCCAATCTAGACTGATTCGGCGGAGTTTCTGCTTGACTGGTCGGGCCTCAAGGTCAAGAGGGTTCTTGTACTGTATAATCTCAGGATCGATTTCAAGCATGTCTTCGTAGGACCACGCGAAAACATCTTTGAAATTTTTTAATAAAGCGATTTAAAGCTCGTGTTCCTCTGAAGACAATGTGAACCCGATCTAGACTAAGCGCGGATCCTTCTCAATACCCACATTAATTGCAATGATCTCATCTATGCAGGGCTTAACATGCCTCTCCTCATCTCGATCAATCAAGTTTTTTAAAGCCTGAGGAATTTTTTCCTCTTATATTTTCATTAAAATTTTGAAAATCTTGGTCAATACAATAAATTAACGGCATAAAGAATTTAGTAGAATCTACGGCATTCTCATTCAGAAGTTCTGGCTCCTCGGTTACAACAGACTCAAAAGAGAAAGCAAAAGAAGACCTAGACAGGACCTTGGCATCCGGGTTAGTACCCACGAAAGTACTAGACTCAGACTCCTCAGACTGACTCGAATCTAATTCTGACTCAACGGACTCGGTAGAATCAGATTTCGGCGCATCATCCGATTCAGAACTAGAAATAAAGCCTTTCTCCAACTGCCTAGTGAGGCGTGACGCCCTTGACACATCTAGAATGCAACTGGTGGAATCCACATTCGGTTCCTCTTTGATCATAGAGATAGTAAAGGTATCCCCCAAGTTCTCTGTATTGGTCTCAGGATCTGTCAAGAAATTGGCCAGTGCTACCCCTACTTCAACCTCACTGCAGTCTGAATCGTCCTCTTTGCTCTGAGCCCCCTCTTCATCGCTGTCTTAGAGTTGGTGGTTAAAGAAGATTTCGAATCTGGGGAAATGCTTTTTCGTTGAGGAATCCACCCAAGGATCGAGAAAACCACAGAAAGGGAAATCTTCTCCTTCTCTGACAAAGCGCCCATTCAACGTTCCCCAGATTGGCCTATGAACCAGCTCATAATGTTTCCCGGCTCTTTTGGCCTTAGCCATTTCTCTCATTTCTTCTTCCTTCCTTCTCCATTCCTCTTTGGTGGGCACATAGCCCAACCCAAAGGCATGTGGATTATATGGCACCTCAGCTAGTGCCGCAACACCTTTCCTCTGACTCCTTCCGAGCCGCATTCCTGGAATATACTGCAACTTGTTCATAAAGTAAATGGACTGAGCACTAACATACATGCCTTCATCCTCGGCTAAGATGGCTTATACCACTTGGGCTGCTACTAGAGTGAATCCCAAAAGAAATAAATCCTCATCACCGTGATTTATTTCCAGCAAAGATATAGTTACCTTTGGCCGTGGATGAATTGATGAATTCCCAAAAATGATGGTCATTCCTCACTCATGAGGGTATTTCAGCATTTGATGGAGGGCGGAGGACATAGCCTTCATGTAATGTAACTAGGGTCTCCCTAGAAGTAGGTTGAGGGTAGTTGGCACATCAAGTACATAGAACTCAATCTCATGCTCAGAAAGGCTCACTTGGACTTGGACTTTCATCGTCTCCATAACTTCTCTGCTCGTATTGTCAAATGCTTGGATCACCTGGGCTGTGGGGACGAAATCTGTCAGTTTCAGGCCTATCGCACAGGCAGTGCAAGAAGGACAGATGTTGATTGCAAAGCCAGTGTCCACTAAAACCACTGGAACCCACTTATCTTTGCACTCAACAGATATGTACAATGGCTTGTTGTGGGTCGATCCTTCCGACGGCAACTCTTTCTCAGAGAAGGTGAGCGCATGCTTGGTGCTACTTGGGAAGATCAGGCCAACAAGCTGCTCTAGAGTAGTATTAATGGACAATTTAGCCTAATCTATTGCCGACAATACTGCCTGTCGATATACTCGTGAAGCCATGAGGAGGCCCAAAATGGATATGTTAGCTTAGATCTTTTTGAGTTGTTTGAGGACCAGCTACTCTTCTAGCTTCTTCTCATTTTCCTTCTCAACCTCCTGGTCTTTTCCTGAGGGTTCAAGCTGATCCAAATGTGGAGGTTTGAAATACCATCTACTTCGGGTGAGGTGGTGTAGCTCGACTTTTTCGTGCCTTCTTTCGGAAGATGAATAAGCCCTACAATATCGGACTCCCGCGATTCTAAATCTGATTCCACAAGTGCAGTGTGAAATAGATAAACACCAAAGAGTCCCAATCCGACAAATCTTTTGGAAAATCAATTTTGAATCAAATTGCCAAAAATGGACTGCTTTGCCAGATACAGAGTCACCACCTAAATATTTTGTTTTGGAAAAATTTAGGAAACCCATGACTCGTGCCAAAGGCCATGTGTCCGTCATCACCAAGATTGTCTCGGCTCGAGAACTTAGGTACGAGAGGAAAAGGTCATGAATTGAGCACCCCCACTCGCCCGATCAAAGATCGGCCTCTACTAATCATGATATGAATCTTATGTACATTATATGCTCTTGTTCAGGTTTATTAGGATAGCATTACACTGTGATGCACACACACACACACAAATGTAGACTAACTTGCGAGAATTGGAACACTTGATTTATGTTTGTTTGGAAAATTGTTTCGAATATGTACCACTTGAAAAAGTGATCGTATATAAACATTGCTCAAATTATTCCAATTCAGGCAATTAGCCTTCATCCACAGGCATTCAAGCAATTATAACACTTAAGCAATTAGCCGCATGCCAAGCATGCTAGACATGGAAACATTCGTATACATGCGATATGCTAAAGCGAGTAAAGGTTCACCTAGTACTCCAAGGCAAAATAAAAACTAATTAGAAAAAATGCATGATTCCTAACTATGTGAGATGACTAATGCAACACGTACAATATGCAATTACTTAGGCTCGCCTACTTAACATGATATGTGAAGCAATTTTGATAACATGCGGTCTAAGTACGTATTCAAAGAAGTATTAAACTAACAATGCAGTTAGAATGATGAACCAAGCCTTGGTACATGCAATACAAATGGATGCAAACATGAAATATGCTAAACAAAACATGATGTCCCTAAACTAACCATCATAAGCTAGTAAATAAAAGGGAGAAAGACGTGGGGTTTGAAAGACATATACATTATTACACTATTTCGGCTCTCACGAAGAAGAGTCCAAATGAATAAACTAGCTAACTAGCTAAATTAAGTTAATTATTACAAAACAAATTAAATTAGATAAACTACTTAAGTAATTATTACAACAAATTAATCGACTATTCTAGTTAACTAATTATTACAACACAAAATTAAATAACTAGTTAAACTAACTAATTAATTACAACACTTTACAAAATTAACTAGCTACAACTAATTAATTACAACAAATATCTAAGCTAAATATTTAAACTTAAACATGTTTGATACGGGAGGAATGCTCATGCACGTGCTTGATTTCCACCCGAAAAGCCACTATTTTGCTTCTAGAAAGCCTCTTCTGCACAATAGAACACTTACACTTTTGTCCACTTCTAGAATAGCTCTTCTCTGCTCAAAAAACACACTGCTAGATTTTGCATTGGTGGCCGGCCGACCAGGAGTGAGGGCCTACCGGCCACCAGTGAGGGCTTGCCGACCACTACTTCAAGGTTCATCTTGTTGCAACAGAGAACAAACAGACCATGCACAAGATATTCTCAAGGGTTTGTTTTCACAATTCACCCCTCCTTATCATGAATAAATCAAAGGAGTAGTAGGCTTGGTTCACATTTTTTTTGATTTGTTTGGTTGTATATTTTGGAAATAGTTTTGGAGTATAGGAATTTGAGATGATTTGATATTTTGTTGTAATTGAGTAGATTTGTGAGAGAAAAAGTGATTGAGAAGGAGAGAGGAGAGAGAAAAAATGATTGATTGATATGTAGGAGAGAGAGTGATTTTGGAAACAAAATTTTGAATTTTTTTTTCAAAAATTGTGTTTTGAGAGTTAAACCAAACAAGGCCACAATGTTTTGTGAAGCATTGTGACTCTATACTCGTCTAATATGTCAAGGGTTGTGACTTTCTGCAAAGTCTACATGATGCCTATAAATATTTGGCCAAAGTAGTGCATTATTCATTCATTGGATTTCCTAACTAATATTGCATTCTTCGCTTCCGGATGCTCGATTTTTTTGAGTGATAAACACCCTCACAGGAACTAAGAGCTATTTACCATTGTTAAGTTTATCTTACACTACTAGCATCAACACGAAGAAATTTCATCAGCTAAACTTAAAATGAGTAAATAAAAAAAATCACTTAAAAAAATTTTATTTACATCAAATTGTCTATAAACATGAATGAAAACCAGCCCAAAAAAATTATAAAATACAACAAGAGATGGATGGAGTTCAACAATATTTCTAAGAATACATTCTGCACGAAAGCAATCCAAAAGTGAACAAGAATGGGGAAGAGGATGGCTCTCTCAAAGGACAGTTGGAAATTGCATTAGTAATAACGAAATTAGATTTTGAATATCCCACTTGACTTGGACAATAATATGAAGGAGAAGGTTCTTCATCGTCACAGTGAGAGGATAGCTATCACATTTGCACTAATAAGCACGCCAGTAGGGAAACCGATCATTGTGAAGAAAAATTTGAGGGTATATGGGGACTATCATTCTGCAGTCCAGTTTATCTCCAAGGTTGTTGGTAGAAATATAACTGTGAAGGACAATAGTAGGTTTCACCATTTTGAGAATGGATTGTGTTCTTATGGGGATTGTTGGAAAGATTTTGAAGGTTTGTGGAGTATACAATGCTCAGAATCAGTGAACTACTCATTGTGATTGAGATCTTTAAGATCTTGAGATCTCTGAAATTTTTGCTCATGTGCTTCGGTAATTTGGTGCTTTTGGCAATGAGCATCTGCTTAAATGATGAGCCAGAGTATTAGGAGGAAAATGACTTTCATGGTAACTCTTTTTTGTAGCCAATAAATTAAGGGGAAAATAAGATCAATGAATGACCTTCACAGCACAAAGGCATGCAACGCATCAAAGCTTGCTTTGCAGAAGATGTGTTAAAATAAGAACATTTTGACAATGTCAACTGGACATACACATTTTTATCCTATAACTAGAATTGCAATCTTAAATTCCTAATGACTTTGAGCAAAGCATCATTGAAATTGATTCTAGTGCAAGACCTTTTTATTTTTTAGACATCCTGGCCAGAGATCATGATCCAATCAATATATTACATCTCTAGCATAGACAAAATAGGTTTCAGAAACCATGTTTGCCACTTGGAATATAAAGGTGAAATTCAAATGTTCACATATAGCAGCCTTCATACATATTAGTTGTAACAACCAAAGTCTTGGAAACAAAAAATAATGCACGACATTTCTAAACATGGATTTTTTTCAATAGAAAACACAAGCATTAACTTTATTCATTTATTGGTTGAAAATCTATTTCTGCATTCCTTGCTTGTAGTAGTGAAATTGCACAGAGAGGTGTAGCGAAAGTCTTTCTGCAAGACTGAAACTCTTGAGATACGCGCAGCATTGTTGGACGAGATCTTGGCTCAGTGCGCAAGCATGCAATTTCCATTCTAGCAACATGAACAATGCTCCCCACAACTATTGGATTAGTTGGAGGCAAAAGACGAGGATCTAAGACATCATTTAGCATTATGTTTTTAGCAGATGATGATCCCAATGATGAGAGAAGTTCTCCAGTATAGCAATCCCGGGTTTACCCTTGTTGTACAGTGATCCGGACATGTGTCCGTGGATGTTAGTAGTTGATCATTACCTTGTGTACATCCTTTCTTACTTTGTATTTGAGTTATAGGATGTGCAGGGCAGGTTTGTTACAGGTTAGTTGAGATTAGAAACTAAAACTAGTTGCCCAGATTTTGACCTGTCCGCTCGAGCGGGGGTTTTGGCGCTCGAGCGGGAATTGCACCCATCCAGTATTTCCTGTGCTGTGTTGGACGCTCGAGCGTGGTATTGGCCACTCGAGCAGGGTTGTGTGAGTGCCGCTCGAGCGGGGAGTTGGAAGCTCGAGCGAAGACCTGGTTCTGTAAAAGTTCTGGGAGGGTGCATCCGCCGCTCGAGCGGGATGGTTGACGCTCGAGCGGGGTGTTTGACGCTCGAGCGGGGCGACTGGGTTTAAGTTCCGTGTTTTGACTTTTCAAATCACTTTTTCACTTTCTCTTCTCTCTCCTACTTTTCCAAAAAAAACCAAACAAGACCTCAATTTTCAAAAAACTAAATTCAAGAAACTAAAACCAAACATACTTAATACTTATTTTGAAAACAAGTTTTCGTTCTCTGTTTTTGCCTCCCTCATCGACCACCACTACCAGCCACCCACCACTATAGCTACCTCATTAATCATGGATTCTTTTATTTATTTATTTATTTATTTTTTTTTTTGAGTTATATATTTTGGAAACATATACCAACTTTTGTTTTTAAAAAATGGAAAAATTTTAAAAAATTCAAAGTTTATCCCTTGCAATAAAATAAACCTTAAATTTTTAATTTTGTCAATTTAAATCTTACTTTTTGATTTGTGGAGGATAGTCTTGATTGTTGTAGACAATGCATGATGATTAGGCAAACTGAAACTAATCACTGGAATTTGTCATTGAGATTGACGATTGAAAGGATACATTAAATTTATGTATTGTGTGATGATGTGTATAATTGTTGTTTATATGCATTGTGTTGTGTTGGAGGAGATAGGGGATGTACTCCACGGTTTAGGGGAAGGTAGGGGATGGACCTCTAAACCGGATGTTGTTGGGAGGAGATAGGGGATGTACTCCACGGTTTAGGGGAAGGTAGGGGATGGACCTCTAAACCGGATGTGTTGGGAGGAGATAGGGGATGTACTCCACGGTTTAGGGGGAGATAGGGGATGGACCTCTAAACCGGATGTTGTTGGGAGGAGATAGGGGATGGACTCCGTAGATAGAGCTCATATGCTTATCTAGTACTGTGTTGACAGAGCTCATATGCTTGTCATTGGAAGTGTGATAGTGCTCATATGCATATCTGTGGAAGTAATGATATAGCTTGTATGCTTATCTGTTGTTGTGTGATATAGCTAGTATGCTTATCTATTATGAAATGGGAAGTGTTTGATATGAGTTACTGTCTCATATGAGTTGTTTGGCCAAGTTCTGAGCCATAGTTGTAAATTGAGAATTGAAAGGAATTGGAAAATGGATTGTAATATGGACTTGTATGTCATGAAACCGTAAAATGTGATAAGGGAAAATATCTGTATTGACCATCTATCAACTGCTAATCTTTTAGTCATTGTTCATATTTGGTTTAGTGTATTTCTACTGGGCTGTGGCTCACCCTATATGGGAATATCATTTTCAGGTACAGGTAGCATGCCACCTCCAAGGTCATAGCTTGGGAGGCTAGAGGCGGACAGATTTTTGTTGTTTAAGTTCCTTTTTGATGTATTACATGTATACAAGCCGAGGGCTTAATGTGTAGATAAGTTAGTACTCTTTTGTTGTAACCAAGTATTAACTTGGAAAGCTGTAAGCCCGTAGGGCATTTTGCTTTTATTGTTAACATGTAATACTTTTGTAATGAAACTCTAATGAATAGAAGATTGTGGATATTTCATATGTCAATGAATGTTTTATTTGATGGGTTTAATGTTATTATTTTGAGGGCGTTACATCCAGGATGCCTTCCCATGATTGTTTCCAGTGCCAGCACCCCAAAGCTAAACGCATCACACTTTTCAGTCACAACCATTATGTAAGCAAATTCTGCACAAACAAAAGATCAATGAAAGAAACCATACATTTCACTTTACGTTTAAAGAAATTAAGGAACAGTGTTTTATGCTACCTGGAGCAATATATCCATTAATGCCTGCAATAACAGTTTGATTCGATGAATCAGGATGTAGCAATCTAGCAGTGCCAAAGTCGGAAACAAAAGCCTCCAATTTAGAGTTCAATAGAATGTTGTTGCTCGATAGATCTCGATGAACAATAGGTGGGGTGTAATCATGATGTAAGTAGGATAGAGCATGTGCTATTGCTTTAACAATGTTTACCCTCAGAGTCCATCCTAATTTAACAGCATTAGTATCAGTTCTCAGGGAACAAAATAAACTTCCTCTTTCCATGTATTCATACACTAGGAACATGCATTTGTTGTGCAAACAGAACGCATAAAGCTTTATTATGTTTCGGTGCCTTACATTTGTTAACATTTGCACCTCATTTCTGAAACTCTTGTCGAAAGCTGGCTCCTCTGCTTCCAAACGATGGAGCTTTTTCAATGCAATTACTTTGCCAGATGGCAACTGAGCTCTGTAGACACTGCCATAACCACCGGTTTCAATGCAGTGTCTGATGTCAAAGTTGTCTGTTACTTTGATGATGTCTTCATATGCAATTCTTCCATCGTAATTCCATATCGAGCGAATATCCCCATTTTTCATTGCCCTCGCCTCAATTTTGTTTTTTTAGGCCTTACGGCAACAAAAACATGCAAACAGAAAAAAGGCAATGTAAAATTTCAATCATGCTGTCAATAAATGTGAAGACTAAAACACTGCATAGAAATTACAAAAATATGTAAAAAAATAAAAATAATAATCACTGTGATGCATTGACCATTACATAACATGATTATTGAATCTCATACATGACCAAAAAAATGCACAAAATACTAGTGGGCTTTCAGACCTAATTCAAGCAAAGTAACAATAAGAAATGAATTCAGAAAAATGAAATGGGCAAGCCCTACAGTGTTTGGAACAAAATCCTTTTATTAGAAATGGAATTTCAAAATGGGAAAGGAAAATAACGGAGTTCTAAGGACGTCCCTTTACTAATTGGAGTTAAAAGGAAAAAATTCCATTTTCTGTTTGGTTTGATGAGGAATTGGAAAGGAAACAAAATTGATGAGAATGATGCCCCTAAGAGAGACATTAGTTAGTAGAGAAAGACAAAAGAATGGGATTTGAAGATGGTTTTTTTTTTTTTTTTTCTTTTTCCCCCTTTCAAATCCCACCAAATCCAAAACCCATTTTAAGTTCCATCCATTCCGAGCATATCAAATTCCATTTTCAACTATAGTTCCACCAAATTCCTTCATCCCAAACACACTAGGCACTAAGTCTACAAAATGGTTATAATTACAAGAGAAAATAGCTTTCCTCAAAGCACAAGAAGTAAATAACCCACAAATGGTTATTTGAGCTTTTGGCACCATAATCCACAATTTACAACAATCCCCACTCATGCACAAAACTGGGCATCCCATAAAATAACTAAAAATAACCACTTTAGCCTTCCAAAAAACCAAGCTAAAGGAGAACTAGAAAAGTACAACAAAAAAAAAAGAAAAAGAAAGAAGAGTAAAGTAAAGCTATAATACATCTCTACTTAAAAAGAATTTAAATGAAAGACAATTCACAAGCCCAATCTCTCTCTTTT